ACCACCCAGACCTCCAATGCCCCAGGGTGCGGGCGCAGCTCCGCCCAGCCCGCGCGGCCCCCCTCCCTGCGACAGTGCCGGACGACGGGACACCAGTCCAGAGCGCGGGCAGGCACCCCAGGCAAAACGGTCCGACTGTGGCACGCGGGCAAACACTGCCGACGAGCCCTGCGCGCAAAGCTCTTCGCACCGCCGAGCACTCCCTGAGCAGCCCTGCCCTCTCCGAGTTTTTCCTTGGGCGCGTTTCCGGAAAGGCCTCGCTTGTCGGGCTGCTCCTTCAGTGGATTCTCTGCCCTCCATACAACGCGGACCTGCTCGGTACGGTGGCCACGCTGTCCGTAAACATGTAGTCCGCGAGTTTGCGCTCGAAAGCTTGCCCTTCAGCCCGAGGCCCTGGCGGTTGCAGGCAGCACTTCGGGACCCGGTGTGTTCCAGGAGGGCCTGCGGTGGCGGTGGGCGGGGAGCACCGCTACCTTCTGGGCCAGTCGCTAGCCGCTACCGGGAGGTCCCGCCGTGCCAAATGGGGCACGCTGTGTGTGTGTGGGGGGCGCCACTACAGTCAACCCGCGGAGTAAGGATGAGCAACTTGTCCTACGTGACCCCCTTCGGTCCATCCCTGGCAAGTTTCGTTGGCCAGCCCCTTAGGGTACCCTTTGGGACGGGCTTTCCAAGGCCGTTGCGTCCTTATCGTGCATCCTTACTCCGCGGGTTGATTGGTATTGCTGATACAGGACTACGGCCAACGATTCGACGAGATCGCCGTTCAGTTGGACGGAGGCTCTATTTGTCGATGATACATGAGTGCGGCCACTGCTTCGACGAGAGCGTCGCTCCCTCGGACGGGGTATCGACAGAAATCCGTAATGTGGCGACCTTTGGAGCGGGATCACAATTTTGTTGGATGCTTCTTGGCAATCACGTATTGTGGCCAGCGCTGTTGCGGGGGTAGCACAATTGTCGTTCCGAGAACGTTTTGATTGGAAAGAGCTACACTGAGAGCCAACTCCAGGCAGTGAGAGATAGGCGGGAACTGGCAAAGACAGCGCCCACGGCGAGGAGAGCAGCAGCCACATGGTGCAAGCGCTGGGCCCACGCCTTCGAAGCCGCGTTGCCGTTCTCGTGGGTCCTTGGGTGGGGGGTGGGGGCTGGCATCCTTCGAGCTCGACGGGAGTTTCGAGGCACCAGTGTCACGAATTCCCTCGTGTGGCCTCCTACAGTGAGCGGCTTGAATAAGGAACACTTACTTTTCAAAAGGGGCTCGGTCGTTCCTTGGGTTTGCATGCGTTCTGCTACCTTTTTGGCGGCGAGCCCCCCTGGTGTTCCTTCGGAATTCGTAGACTCACTTGGAACGACAAGGGGCTTCGTTCCTTATATTTACCGTTTCTTAGGTCAACGCCTCGACTGTACGGATTCATCGCCGAGCAGCGTCGTCGTGCGCGCGAGGCAGCGGGGTCTGTACGCGCCCATGGCCCTGGGCCCGCGGCCCACGAGCGGTGCAGAGGTGCCTCCTCCTTGGCCGGGCCGGGGGCGCGCGCGCTGCTCGTGGGCGCGGGAGGGGCCAGGGGGCACGCGGAGATCTCGTCGCCCGTGAAAAACATCGAAAGACAACAAAAGGATCTCCTGCTCCTCCTCCTCCTCCTCCTCCTCCTCCTCCTCCTCCTCCTCCTCCTTCCTACTTCTCCTCCTCCTTCTCCTTCCCACTCCTCCTCCTCCTCCTCCTCCTCCTCCTCCTCCTCCTCCTACTCCTCCTCCTCCTTCCACTCCTCCTCCTCCTCCTCCTCCTTCCACTCCTCCTCCTTCTCGTCCTCCTCCTTCTCAGAAGGAGAAAAAATACACGGACACAACCAATCGTCGACTCCCAGGAAAATACTGACAAATATGGGAATTGGGGGGAAGACGAAACCCTGAAAATATGATAAAATATTGGACATCCTGTTATTTGTGTGTATTTATTTAATCGCTTCGCTCATTCCGCCGGCCCATATTGTCGCACCGTTGCGGGCTAGCCGAGTTTTGCGGCCTCTTGGGGGCCTTTTTGGGGCCTCTTGGGGCCTCTTTTGGGCCTCTTGGGCGCCTCTTGGGGCGTCTTGGGGGCCTCTTGGGGGCCTCTTGGGGCCTTTTTGGGGCCTCCTGGGCGCCTTCTGGGGCGGAGGGCTCGATTTTTCAGTTCTCTGTATCCCTCTTGAGCCCCTCTTGGGCCCGTCTTGGGGCCTCTTGGTCCGTCTTGGGCGGCACTTGGGCCGTCTTGGGGGCCCTCTTGGGCCGTTTCGGGGCCGTCTTGGGAGCTTCGTGGGCCGTCTTGGAGCGATCTTGGGCGCCTCTTGGGTCGTCTTGGAGCGTCCGGAAGCCGAAAAAGCCAGAACGCCAAAAACATCGGAAAAACCAATGAAAATCAACGATTTTGGCCTCTTGGGGCTCTCTTCGGAGGCCTCTTGGAAGGCTCTTGGGGCGTCTTGAAGGCCTCTTCGGCTGTCTTGGGGGTCTCTTGGGCCGTCTTGGGGTCATCTTCGGCGCCTTGGAGCGCTCTTTGAACGTCTCGGGGGCCTCTTGAGCAATCTTGGGGGCCTCTTGGGGCACTCTTGGCGCGCTCAGGGCGGCCTGAGAGGCCGCACCCAGAAGGAAAACCATCTCTGAGTTGAACCGGGCGGGACCTTCCCAGGCGGCGGGCGGGGTACTTTTCGCCGAGGGACCCCCAGGGGCCGCCCCGCGCGCGCGAACTAGTACAATACAATTGTTAACCAGTTACCGGAGATCTTAGCACGCCTCTGGCCCGTTGGGCCGGCGAATTTGTGTGTCCCTTGGCCCCTTCCTCCTCCTCCTCATCCTCCTCCTCCTCCTCCTCCTTATCGGGTGCAGGTGCTTGGCCTCCTCCCTCTGTTTTCCCCTCCTCCTTTTTAGCACGCTGTGCTGCGCAAAAGGTCCAAAAAGGTCCTCCTCCTCCTCCTCCTCCTCCTCCTCCTCCCCCTCTCGTCCTCCCTCTCCCTCTCCCTCTCCGTCTCTCCCCCCTCCTCCTCCCTCCTCCTCCTCCTCCTCCTCCTCCTCCTCCTCCTCCTCCTCCTCCTCCTCCTCCTCCTCCTCCTCCTCCTCCCTCCTCCTCCTCCTCCTCCTCCTCCTCCTCCCTCTCGTCCTCCCTCTCCCTCTCCGTCTCCCTCCTCCTTCTTCGCCTCCTCCTCCTCCTCGTCCATTCCGTCTCCTTCTAAGTAACTTCTCCCTGTCCCACCCCGAGGCTATTTTTCAGGGTGGGCCGGGCGTTTCGTCTGAGACTTCCTGCCCATCTATGACCCTGAAGCTTAAACATTGACAACAGTTTCACAGATGGAGGGCAGGTGGTTTTCAACATGTGGCTCTCGCCTTATCACCGCGCTCGTTTGGTTTCAACACTTGCAAGGGTTTCACTGGTTGATGGCGGATAGTTTTCAAAATGTGGTTCTCGTTTTAGCGCCGCGCACGCTCTTGGTAAACAACTTGCAAGGGTTTCGCTGATCGAGGGCGGGCCTTTTTCAAAATGCGGCTCTCGTTTGAGCGCCGCGCACATTCGTTTAAAACATTTGCAAGAGTTTCACGGATTGAGGGCGGGTCGTTTTCAACATGTGGTTCTCGTTCGGCTTTAGCGCCGCGCACACTTATTTAAAACAAAATTGCAAGGGTTTCACGGATTGAGGACGATTCGTTTTCAAAATGTGGTTCTTACATTAGTGCCGCGCACATTCGCCTTAAACATGTGCAAGAGTTTCACGGATTGAGGGCGGATTATTTTCAACATGTGGTTCTCGCCTTAGCGCCGTGCACGTTTGTGTTAACAAATTGCCAGATTGCGAAGGCCTTACGGCCGGTGCCGCCGACCCTGAATGGCGACGACGACGACGACGACGACGACGACGACGACGACGAGCGCTCTTGGGGGCCTCTTGGGGGTAGTTTGTGGGCCTCTTGGGAAGGTCTTAGGGGCCGCTTGGAAGCCTCGTGGGGGCCTCTTGGGGCTTCCTGTGGGTCTCTTGGAGGGGGCCTGGGACGTCTTGGAGGCTTCTTGGACGGTCTTGGGGCTGTCTTGGGCGTTTTCGGCAGATCTTTGGGCGACTCGGCAAGAGTTTGACGGCTTTCCATGATCGGCTTTCCATTCACGGTTTTGAGGGCGCACCAGTTACGATGATTCGCGGAGTTGAGGTCCCACGAATGGCGTTATGGCACGATTCAGGATCGTCAAGACGCAACAGTCAGGTTCATCCGTTGCGTTGGAATACCGAGAATAATGTTTTGGCATGCTTCAGGGTCCTCAAACGGTTGTCTTCCAACGAGGCAGATGCCTCTGTGGAAATCACCGTTGAAGGGGCCTATGAAGAGGGAGCTTGGGGGGAGGGTCTATTCCAACATCGTTGGTGACTCTTGGATTTACACTGGTCCTCCTCCTCCTCCTACTTCCCACTTATCCTCCTCATCCTCCGCCTCCTCCTCCTCCTTCTCCTCCTTCTTCTCCTCCTCCTCCTCCCTGTCCCTCTCCCCCTCTCCGTCTTCCTCCTCTTCCTCCTCCTCTTCCTCCTCCGCCTTCCCACTCCTCCTCATCCTCCGCCTCCTCCTCCTTCTCCTCCTTCTCCTCCTCCTCCTCCCTGTCCCTCTCCCCCTCTCCGTCTTCCTCCTCTTCCTCCTCCTCTTCCTCCTCCTCCTCCTTCCCACTCCTCCTCATCCTCCGCCTCCTCCTCTTCCTCCTCCTCCTCCTCCTCCTCCCTCTCCCTCTCCCTCACTCGCCCAATACCATGGGCATTATCAAAGCAGCGGTTACACTGAGGGGCTTTTGCGGCTCTTGCAGGCACTGTTGTGCCGGTCTCCTCCTCCGCGCCCTGCGCCGCGACGCCACGCGCGCAGCTGTGCACACGGTGTTGCCAGAGAGGGGCGTGGCATCGCTCGGACGTGTGCAATTCTTTCTCGCGGCGAGTACGTCGACGAGCCTTTGAAACCGTCGAGGGAAAAAGCACACGCACGAAGCCGGAAAATGCACGGGGAATGGACGTCCGAACGATGGCGAGGTGGCGTGACCGCAGCAGGCCTTTCGTCTGCCGCTCCCTCTCCTTAGCTCTTGGCTGGCACTAGACACTGCGCGTCCCTCGGTTCGCCCTGCCCTTCCCTCCTTTTCCTCCTCCTCCTCCTCCTCCGCGACGGCAGCGGCGGCGGCGGAATAATGCCTCACGCTCCGCTCTTCCCCACCAGAGCCCCTTCAGAAACTGTGCCCATGAGAGCCGACGGGATAAGCGAAGCGACACACTTAGAGAAACATCTCTCGGAGCAAGAGGATGGCCTTTGAGAGCCTCTTCGGGCCATCCTTGGGGCCCGTGAGGGAGCGAGGGGAGGGGGAGGCGGAGGAGGAGGAGGAGGAGGAGGGGGAGAAGGAGAAGGAGAAGGAGGAGGAGGAGGGGGAGAAGGAGAAGGAGAAGGAGGAGGAGGAGGAGGAGGAGGCAAACCACCTCTTGGGGCCCTCGTGGAGCCCCTTTGGGGCGCCCTTGGGCGCTCTTGGGGCCGTCTTGGGGCCCTCTTGGGGCCCTATTAGATCCTCTTGGGAGCCCTGGAGGGTCTCTTAAGGCCATCTTGGAGGCTATCGATCAAAGGATGTTGGGTCCTAAATTTCCCTCCCCACCTGGGGCCATCAACTCGAGTCTTGGGGCCCTCTTAGGGCATTCTTGGGCGCTCTTGGGGTCGTCTGGGTGGCCTCTTGGGCCCCTCTTGGGGCTCTGTTGGTGCAAGCTTGAGGCCTCAAACTCAAACCTCAAAAACACATCAGAAGCGAAAAGGCGAGAAGGCACAATCCCATGAGTTGCCATCGGTGTTTGAAGGATTTTTGCCTCGTGGCTCCGAGAACTCGGAACCGGCTTGTGGTCATCGTCGGGCTTCTTGGAGGTCTGTCGGAAGTTATCTTGACCCATCTTCGGCTATTTTGAGGCGTTTGGGAGGCCATCTTGGAGCATAGAAGGCCTTCTTGGAGCTATCCTGGGCGAAACATGATCCCAAAAACAAACTCAGGGAGGGGAGGGGAAGGTTACCCCTCCCGAGGGCTTTGGAGAAGGAAAGACATTGTTAGACGACCTTACCCCAAAGGGTTGGTAGGATACTTTGCCAAGCACTGCTAGCCCCCAGATGCACATGTGCCAATTATTGGGCGATAGTACGTACTGATTGCAGTTAGGGTGCATGAAAGTTTTTCTCCCTGCAACAATCAGTCACTGAAGGAAAAGGTGTTTGCAAGAGGAGGCATCCCATTGGCGAGATGATTATAACACGGGGCACCTTTTTTAGGTGGTGTGGAACGGGTTTGAGTTTTTTAGATACGCTTGCGGTTTTGTGAGAGATGCGTATGTCACATAATACTTTTTGGAGGCGGTTCGCCTTCTCATTGTGGTCAACTTTTTGGTGGCACGGAATAGGCAACTTCGATGAATTGGATCTTCTTTGCCTGGGGCCGTAGATGTCTCAATACATATGCATTATCTTTTTTGTCCCTGGTCAGTTTTCGGGGCACCAGGCCCAGAAGTGTCTCAGAACATATGCTTCATGTAGTTTACCCGTTCCTGATGCTGGCTCCACCAGCAGTTCGACGCCCCCGTGACAGAGAAGCGAGGGGCGGCGGCGGAGGAGGAGAGGAGACTGGTGCAGAGGCGGTGCCACTCGCTCATCCAGGGGCGGCCACGATCCGGCGACTTCAAACGGCACGGTCACGCCGGGGTGTGGTTTGCGATCGGCACCGTCGGGGCCTGGGGAGCACGACGCTGCCCTCGTCGGGCCTCCCTCCTCGGGGCGCGGCGGGGAGCTCCGTCGAGGTCCTCGCCCGCACCCGAGGGGTGCCCCCTGGGTGCCGGTTGCCAGCCACACCCTCTGCAGACCACACCCGTCAGAGTCGCCGAACAATGGTGCGGCACACCTTTCCGAGCTGCGTCCGGCCTCCCGTGTGGAGCGCAATTTTTTGCTCCCCCCCCGCCGAGTCTGCCGCCCTGCCTGTTGGATGGATGCAGCAGCGAGGCCTCCGGCGGTCCGACCCCCGAGAGGCATCTGCCTTCAGCCTCCTCCTCCTCCTCCTCCTCCTCCTCCTCCTCCGCCCCCTCCCCCTCCTCCCCTCCTCCTCCTCCTCCTCCTCCTCCTCCTCCTCCTCCTCCTCATTCTCATCCTTCCTCTCCTCCACCCTCTCCCTCTCACTCTCCGTCGCCCTCCTCCTCCTCCTCCCCCCCGTCCCCCCGAGCGACTAAAATAAAAATGGGTTCGATTACGCCCACATTGGCGCGTCGGTTGTTCTCGTAGGCTCGCGCGTAAGCGCCCTCGTCTCCAATGTGGCGTGCCGCGCAGGCGGCCCGCGCAAGCCACCTCGCGTGAGGTCGATATGCCATCGCGCGTAAGACCCTTTTTTGATCGTCGCCCACGTGTTCTTGTGGGTCCTTCCTTCTCCACCCCCTCCCTCGCCATCACCCGCGGCCCAGAGAGTGGCGGCGGAAGTCTGCAGCGGAGAATGACTGGTGATGCGGGTGACGGTGATGGCTCCACTGTTGGCGCAGGCAGGCGTACGTCGTGCAGTGGTGCAGTCTGCCGGCGGCCATGGAATCCACACGGGCGATGGGCCGCCCAGTCTCGGGAGGGGAAAAACACAGACACAATGAAGTGTCGATCCCCCAGAAAATATATGCGAAAATCTGGGAATATGGTGGGAAGACAACAAAAAAACCCGAGAAGATGGGAAAATATGGGGAACATGTTTATTTGTGTGTATTTATGTGCGTGTCCCGGGGCCCCTTCAATGACCCAGCGGCTGGTCCCCGCTCGTGGCCCTGGGGCTCGGCGCACGGAGTGGAGCCTCTGTGGCCAGGAGGCCGGATGGCGCTCCCGGCCGCCGCCCCGCCCCCGCGTGATGCTCCGTCACGGTCTCGCCGCGGCTTGCGGGAGTCTGTCGGGAGGGAAAGAAGCACACAGACACAATTACTCGTCGATCCCCACGAAAATATGGGAAACTGTGGGAAGTGGGGGGGAAGACAAGAACCCAGAAAACACGGGAAGATGTGGGGAATCGGTTCATTTGTGTGTATTTGTTTGTGTGTCCTTGGGCCCCTTCAGTCTGGCTGTGCTGCAGGGGCGGCCGCACTCGGCAGCACGAGGGCATGTGTGGGGGGGGACACGCTGTGGAGTCCACCACGCGCAGCCGGGGGCCTGGGGAGGCCTCCCTGCACTTGCGCCTCTTCCTGCGCTGGTGCCCGTGCGAGGCAACGATAGCAGGTGGCGATCGTTTTCTGATTCGTTGTTTTGCCGATCGGCGCGGGCTCTCGCGCCCCCTCCCCCTCCCCCCCTCCGTGGAGTAAATCTTGGCTGCTTGGGGCGCCTGTTTCGAGCCGGTGGAGTCTCTCCCCCATGGGCCGCACGGTTCCAAACCGTCGCACTAAGCATGGGTCCAGAGCCAGACCCCCCCCCCCCTTTCCCCCCCTTCCGCCCAATGTCGGAACGCCGAATAAGAGAACACCCACAAGGAGAAGTAGTGCTCTGGCGTCAGCCAGGGCACGGACAGTACGTCGGTCGCGCAGTGGGCCATCGCAGTTTGCCGAGGCCCTCGGGAGGCCTCCGAAGCTCGATGGGGGGGGCAGGACAACCCCATGCCCCCTAGGATGGCGTTCACAGAACTGCCGTGCGCGCCTCCTCCTCCTCCTCCACCTCCTCCTACCCGTCCTCCTCCTACCCCGTTCTCCTCCTCCTCCTCCTCCTCCTCCTCCTCCTCCACCTACCCCGTTCTCCTCCTCCTCCTCCTCCTCCTCCTCCTCCTCCTCCTCTTCGTCTTCCTCCTCTTCGTCTTCTTCCTCCACCTCCTCCTCCTCCTCCTCCTCCTCCTCCTCCTCCCCCGTCCTCCTCCTACCCCGTCCTCCTCCTCCTCCTCCTCTTCCTCTTCCTCCCGTTAGGTTCCTTCATCAGACGCGGTTGTTGAAGGCATCGGCTGCACGGATGTCTGTGATGCTTATGGCTCTTCCGACCCAGACGTCCGACGATGCGGCTGTTTTAATCCGGTGCGCCAGATGTCTCTACCACCTTGCAGGGGACAGTTTTTCGACCCAGCAGAGTTTTCGGTGTGTCCCGGCCTTGGAGCTGGCCCCAGGAGTCCGAAGAACAGGAAAAGCCATGGAATTCAAACAACAACCATCCTGCTGATGTCTGGGCCCTTCATAAAGCTCCCCCTCGAGCTCCCCGAGGTCCTCAGAGGGCTCCATGACTTCAGATGTCCAAAGTCCTGTTTTTCTTTGCAACGCGGGCCTCAAAGGTCTAGACTCCTTCCCAGGGGCCTTTTTTCCATCCCGAGCAGTTTCGTACTGACGGCCCCGGAGCCCCGTGAGGGCCCCGGGAGGCCGACACCTCCTCGTGCCCTTCGTTGTCCGCCCTCGTCCTCCGTACTCCTCCGCCTCTTGCCTTCGCCCTCTCCTCCATCTATGGGACATCCGTACTCTCTAGGCCGCCCAGTTGGGGTCGGAGTAGATGGGGTCGGAGGATCGCGCCGCATCGCCGATGCATTGCCGATGCGGCTCGCTGTGGCGCCCGATTTGTTTCACGTCGACGTCGCCGATGCATCGCCGACGTCGACGATGCATCCCCGGTGCATCGCCGGTGCATCGCCGATGCATCGCCGATGCATCGGCGATGCGGCGCGATCCTCCGACCCCATCTACTCCGACCCCATCCAGGAGGCCTTTATATTCTTGCCCTCTCCTCCATCTGCCACCGGAGGCCGCAGAGTCTTCGGGACGTGCTGTCGCGAAGTGCTCATGGCGAGCAGGTCTGCGGGGTCCAGCCTCGCCGAGCAGCGCGCTCCGAGACCCCCGCCGGGGGAGGCGGCCACCGATCGCTCCGGAGCTCGACCGTCCAGAGAGGATCGCGTTTGAAGCCGGTCCTTCGCAGCGCCACTGCCAGCTCCCCGCCTCGCCCACAGGCCTCCCAGGTGGGGTCGGAGTAGATGGGGTCGGAGGGTCGCGCCGCATCGCCGATGCGTCGCCGAGGCGGCTCGATGCGGAGCCCGATGTGATCCACGCCGACGTCGGCGGTGCATCGCCGATGCGTTGGCGATGCGGCGCGGTCCTCCGACCCCATCTGTTCGGACATCCAGGAGGCCTTCCAGTCTTTCCCTCCCAGGACCTCCCCGGGCCCCCTCGCGTAGTCACAACAATTAGCTGCGGGAGTGCTCCGTTCGCTGCTTTTTCGGCCCGCCCCGGGGGCCTTCGCCAGGGCCCCACGGCCATGCACGGGATGAAGAGCGGGTCCCGGGGACGGGGCCTGGACCTCAAGAGGTCGACGCTGTGAACAAGGCACGACGTCGCGGGTTTGGTCTCGTCGTGTCCAGAGGCACGTCGTGCGTTTGTGTTGTTGGTTTATTAGCACCGGGTCTTCAGTGTGCTTCTCAGTCTGGGTCCAAAGTTGTACGGTCGTTCGGTCTAGGCCTCCTAGATGGGGTCGGAGTAGATGGGGTCGGAGGATCGCCCCGCATCGCCGATGCATCGCCGATGCGGCTCGATGCGGAGCCCGATTTCTTTCACGCGGATGTCTCCGATGCATCGCCAACGTCGTTGATGCATCGCCGGTGCACCGCCGATGCATCGCCGATGCATCGCCGATGCATCGCTGATGTATCGCCGATGCGGCGCGATCCTCCGACCCCATCTACTCTGACCCCATCTTGGAGGCCTCTATTCGGGTAAGTGTCGAGTTAGTACCGGTTTAGCGCGAACTAGTTTCAGAGTGTTGCAGGTTGGTGACAAGTGGTGCACACTGGTGCCACTTACGGTGCTCACCCCACGTCCTGCCAATGAGTTCACGCTCGCGACTCCGAAAGGCATGACGTATCCAAAGCGAGAGCGAACCGATGGAAGCCGCTGGAGGACACTCAGCAGCGCTAATCCAAGACTTGTTCGGTGTGGCAGGTTGTTTAACAAAGCTCACAGGCATCATGACTGACTGTGCACTCCCGTCGTGAAAAAGAAGACACAACTGGAGGTTTTTGGCAGCTTTCTGCCTCCATGGGCCCTCAGCAGGCCCTGGGACCGTCAAACAACGGCTCGTGATGCAAAGCCAGTCCTGGGGAAGGGGCACAGATTTTGGGACCCACGTGGCGGAAAACAGCACGCCGTCGGAGATCAGGTCCACCTCCTCCTCTTTTTTTCAGGAGGGAAAAAAACACAGACACAATGAATCGTCGATCCCCAGGAAAATATGGGAAAATATGGGAAGTGGGGGAGAAGACAGAAACGCAGAAAGTATGGGAAACTATGGGGAGTCCTTTTGTTTGTGTGTGTATTTATTTGTGTGTCCCAGGGCCCCTTCATTTTTCCTCCCTTCAGTCCCCAGGGTCGGTGACCGACAAGTCCCCTGCGCGGGCCTCAGACCTGTGCAGGGGCAACCTCCGGGGGGGACAGGCTCGGGGGGGGACTCGTCGACCCCCCGATCGCCCCTGCGTCGCCGATGGGTGCCCGATAGCCCACCCCGCCCAGGAACGCGCGGCATCGCTGTCGGGGCCAATCGTCCATTGATTGGCACTGTCTCGCCGATTCAAGATCCGTGTTTCCTCCTCTGAGCCAGCAACCCCCGAACGTTCTTCCGTGCTCCTTTTCTCTGGACGCCCGAGGTGGGCGCGGAAAGAGTGGGTACAAGGCCCAGCAGCAGTTCCTGTCCACTTTGACCAGGACTCGCTGTCCGCGCCGCCGCGGCCTGTGTCCATTCGAGACAGGAGGCCGCTTGCCAAACAGCGGCCGCTGTTGGTTTGGGACAGCATTTGCTGTTTGGGCACTGTACCCATTCTTTCCGTACCCATTTCGGGCGTCCAAATGTTCGGCCCATGGAGTGACAGTATACTTCTTGGCATGCTTGTTTTCTCCCTTGCCTCCCCCCCTTCTTCTTGCCTCCTCTTCCTCTCCGTCCTCCCCGTTCCCACCCCTCCTTCATCCAGCACGCGTAGTGCTGCACGCTCTATCTTGGCACAAGGCCTCACAGTGGCCCTCTGTCGCACGCGTGCGTCACACTCGAAGCGCACAGCGAACCTCCACGCCGCATATGTTGTCATCATCAATCCTCCCACCCTCCTCGACCGCCCGCACCCTAACCCTCCTCTCCTCCCCGGATGCTGAGCGTGCGGGGCGCGGTTTCTCCCACGTAGTGATTGTGTGTCTCGGGTCGCTTGGCTTTCCCATCGGAGCGTCTGGATTTTTAAATCTGTGCTCCCGCTGCAGCGCTGGTCTCATTTCAGGATCGGTGCTTCTCAGAGGAGAAAAGGTACCCACACCGCTACACTTCCCTCGTCTTCCCCTTGTGGCACCTCCTGGGAGGGCCTCGTCGCCACCCTTGGATTCGCCTCGAAAGGTTGGTCAAAGCCCACCCTGGGAGAGGTCCGGGGAGTACAGTCGGGGCGCTGAAGGAGGAACCCTTTTCGTTGGGGAGGGGCTCGGTGTTCCCTAAGTGTTTTACATATTTCTTTGGGTTTTTCTGAGGTTTTCCATGGGAAATCGAAGTTCAATATATGGGGAAAAGGGGCCCCGTTCCTTATTTAGGGTTCCTTAGGTCAGAAAGAGCGTGTTCTACCGCTGCTAGCGGAAAACCGGGTGGGGTCACTACCAGTTCGAACCCCTCCCCCCTCCCCCCCTCTCCGGAAAACGGGGGGCGGTCAATACCAGTTCGAACCCCTCCCCCCCCCCCAGTTCATCATGAAAAGGGGGGGGGGTCACTACCGGTTCGAACCCCCCCCTCCCCCCCCTCTCCCTCGAGCTCGAAAACCGGGGGGGGTCACTACCGGTTCGAACCCCCCCCCCCCTCCCCTAGAAAACCGAGGGGAGGTGCGGACAGTGGTGGGGACGGTGGTGGTGGGGACAGTGGTGAGGGGACAGCGAGACAGTGGTGGGGACAGTGGGACAGTGGTGGGAACGGTAGTGGTGGGGACAATGGTGAGGACAATGGTGGGAACAGTGGGGACAGTGGGACAGTGGTGGGGACGGTGGTGGTGGGGACAGTGGTGTGGGGACAGTGGGAATGTGGTGGAAACAGTAGGACAGTGGAGGGTACAGTGGTGGTGGGGACAGTGGTGAAGGCGGTGGCGAGGACGGCGGTGGGACAATGGGAAAGAGGTACAGTGGGGACAGTGGTAGGGACAGTGGGGACAGTGGTGGGAACAGTGGGACAGCTCAGTGGTTCGAACCGGTAGTGACCCCCCCCTCCGGTTTTCGAGGAGGGGGGGGGGTTCGAACCGGTAGTGACCCCCCCCGGTTTTCGAGCTCGAGGGGGGGGGGGGGGGGTTAGGGGAGGGGGGGGGTTTTGCCGGGGGAGGGGGGAGGGGGGGGGGGGGGGGGGGGGGGGGGGGTGGGGGGAGGGGTTCCAGCAGGGGGGGGGGGGATTTTCGGAGGGGGGGGGGGACCCCCGGGTTCTGGAGGAAAAGGGCGGCAATTTTCCACAGTAAAGCGGCGGTGGATCACGCTCTACGCCCCGACTGTAGCAGTATCGGTACCTGTTGGTTTCCCCAGCGTTGTCCCAGTCGTGCAGGATGGCGCTCTCGCCCCAGCGCAGGCCAAAACTTCTGGATCCAGGTCCTGCCTTCGCTCTCCTCCTGTCCCCTCTTTTCCGCCCCTCCCCCGATCCTGCGTCTTCTCCCGCTCCTCCTGGTGCTTTTGCTCATGCGTATCCTCCACCCCTTCCTCCAATGTTCAGGAGGGGAAAAACACAGACACAATTAATCGCCGATTCTCAGGACAATATGCAAAAATTTGGGAAGTGGGGGAATACAAAAAACCCAAAATATAAGAAAATATAGAGGGAATCTTTTTATTTGTGTGTATTTGTTTGTGTGTCCGGGGGCTCCTTCAAATGTACAGAGCTCCCTTTCTGGTTGCGCATCGCATGAGCGGGTCAGATGGTGCGCTACCGCCACCCGTTTCGGCGCACCCCTCACGCGCCTCGCGCTCCACAGGGAGCTGCACCTGCGGCACCAGGGAGGGCGCCTGCGCGCGGTCCCCACGCCTGCGTCGGCACACCCCTCAGAAAGGATCATGCCCCACAGTGCCTCCACCCACCAGCCCCTTCCTCTGCCCCCTCCTCCTCCTCCTCCTCCTCCTCCTCCTCCTCCTCCTCCTCCTCCTCCTCCTCCTCCTCCTCCTCCTCCCCCTCCTCCTCCTCCTCCTCCTCCTCCTCCTCCTCCTCCTCCTCCCCCTCCCCCTCCCCCTCCTCCTGCTCCTCCTCCTCCTCCTCCTCCTCCTCCTCCTGCCCTCCACCGAGCGGGGCCTGTGCACCGTGTGCGTCCAGCCGAGCTTTGCTCGGAAGCTCTGAGGCGCGCGCGCAGCGAGAATCGCTCCGCGTCGTCGCCTCCTGCCGCGCCCGCAGTGCCGGGCCCGTCGTTGGACGACTCGGGCCTGTCGGCTGCGCGTGAGGAGTGGCCCTGCATGGCATCGCTCGGACGTGTGCGTTTTTTTGTCGGCGAGGACCATCGAGGAGCATCCTTGATCATTTGGCGAAAAGACCACGGCCGAAACCGAACAAAAACACAGGGAATTGGACGTCCGAGCGATGGCCAGCTGCGCGAGGGTGGCTCATGGCGCGCGGCCTTTCTGGGAGTCGCGGGAGGGCTCGTTTCGGTGCCTCCGATTCTTGTTCGATGTCGATGGCCTCCGGCTCCGATGCGATTCCGTTTCGGATCCTGATCTGGAGTCCGACTCCTCCGTGGCGGCTTGCCAGCCTGCCGATGTCCGCCGATTCGACGTCTCCCCGCTCGGCCGCCGATCTCCTCGCGTCGATCGCCGAGCCGACCTTGTCCATGCGATCCGGGGCGCTCCTGGGCGCGGGAGGGGCCGCAGGCCGCTGCCGTCGCCCCGCGCACGCAGCGGCCGGGGGAAGGGGGGGCCGCGCGCGCAGGGTTGGGCGCTGCGTAATGGAGGGATCGTAAATGGGGGGGCGGCGAGTGTGGTCCGAAAAGGTACCCAAATGGTACCTAAACGAGCCCCCTGGGGCTCTGGAGGGGCCCGAAAAGGGCACGAAAGGGGACCTTTTTTGACCCCCCCATTTGTGACCCCCCCATTAAGCCACGCCCAACAGGGGATGGCCACTCCCGCCCAGGGCGGCCACCTCCTGGCGTGCAGCCGAGGGTCCACCCGCCGGCGCCGGGCCCGGCGTGCCTTTTCTCTGCCGCGCGCTGACGTCAAAGCAGCGGCCTTGTTCGAGGGAGGAACAACCACCCATCGGGCCGGGCGAAAGGGGGGGGTTGGGAAAGGGGGGGTTACGAAATCTGCTGCATGTAGCTGGTTTCGGCCCCACCGAGGGGCCCGTTCCTCGATACATAGCCACCTCCGGCGCCGGGAGGCGCCGGGAAAATCAGCTACGTGAGCTGATTCTCACCCCCCCCCTTTGCTATCCCCCCCTTTCGCCCGACCCATTGTTCGAGGGAGGAAAAGCCACCCGGACCGGGCAGTTGGCGTTTACGAAGCGGCCCCGGGCGTTTTCTGTTGAACAGCCCTGCCCTGTTTGATTTTTGTCTCTGGGTGCGTTTGCCAGAGGATGCGTCGCGTGTCGGGGCGGTGACAAAGTCGGGGTGGATGTTCTGCCCTCCTCATTTATTTCTGAGGAGGAAAAGGTACCCACATCGCTGCACCCCGCCCGTTTTCCCGGTGTTCGGCCTCGGAGGCAGGCCCGCGTCGCCACGGGTGGGTTCGCCTCGGACTCCTGGGCAGAGCGCGCCCTCGGAGAGGTCAGGGAATACACGGAAGCTGGGAGAAGTGACTGGGGCCAGCCTTTCCATTCTTTCCAGCCTTGGCCGGTTCCTCTCCATCTTTTCCAGCCCTGGCGACCGCATCCCGGCTGTTTCGGGCTCGCTCCACCCCCTGCCCGTGTCTGCCCGTGTTTCCAGCCCTGGCCACTTCCGCTTTCACTGGTTGTCCAACCTCCACTCAGTCCAGCTCCCCTGCAGCGATATCGGTACCTCCCGATTCCCCACTTCTTGACGTGCACGCGCGTCGTTGCGCGTGCCTCTAGGCCTCCCAGATGGGGTCGGAGTAGCTGGGGTCCGAGGATCGCCGATGCGTCGCCGACGCATCGCCGACGCGGCGCGGTGCGGAGCCCGACCTCCACGCCGGTGCGTCGCCGATGCATCGCCGATGCGTCGCCGAGGCATCGCCGATGCCTCGGCGGCGTCTCGGCGACGCCGGGCGATCCTTCGACCACACCCTACTCGGGCCCCTATCTGTAGGGCTTGGCATCGCTCGGACGTGCGCATTTGTTCTCGGCGACGGCCATCGAGGACCATCCTTGATCATGTGGCGAAAACAAACAACACGCACGACATCGAGAAATACACAGGGAATGGACGTCCGAGCGATGGCCAGTTCGGTGCCTCCGATTCTTTTTCGGTTTCGATGGCCTCCGACTCCGATTCGATTCGATTTCGGGTCCTGATCTGGAGTCCGATTCCTCCGTGGCGGCCTGCCAGCCTACCGATGTCTGCCGATTCGACTGCTCCCCGCTCGGCTGCCGATCTCCGACCCGACCCGACGCGCGCCGCTCGCCGAGCGGGCTTGTCCATGCGATCCGGGGCTCTCTTGGGCGCGGGAGGGGCCGCAGGCCGCTGCCGTCGCCCCGCGCACGCCACGGCCGGGGGGGGCCGCGCGAAAAAAAACACGCACGAAATCGAAAACACCTCCTCCTCCTCCTCCTCCTCCTCCTCCTCCTCCTGCTCCTCCTCCTTCTCCTCCTCCTCCTCCCCCTCCTCCTCCTCCTCCTCCGACATCGAAAACGACACGAGGAATGGACGTCCGAGCGATGGCGAGGAGGAGGCCGTGGGCGCCGCCTCCGCGGCAGGCCCCCCCCGCTGCCTCGACGGGGGCGGCGCGCCTTTTGCCAGGCCTGCGCCGCCGGGGCCCCGCGCGCCCCCGCAGGGGGGGGGTCCTCCTCCTCCTCTATCTCCTCCTCCTCCTCCTCCCCCTCCTCCTCCTCCTCCTCCTCCTCCTCCTCCTCCTCCCCCTCCTCCTCCTTCCCCTCCCCCTCCTTCCCCCCCCCTCCTCCTCCTCCTTCCCCCCTCCTCCTCCTCCTCCTCCTCCTCCTCCTCCTCCTCCTCCTCCTCCTCCTCCTCCCAAGCCCCGGCAGGGCCCCCGTAGGGGGGGGGTCAGGAGGGAAAAAAACACAGACACAATGAATCGGCGATTCTCAGAAAATATGGGAAGATATGGGAAGTGGGGGGGAAGACAAAAACCCAAAAAACATGGGAAAATTGGGGGATGTTTTTATTTGTGTGTATTGATTTGTGTGTACCAGTTCCCCTTCAGGGGGGCCCTCCTCTGGTGGCCCCGGCAGGGCCCACTCCGAGAGTCGATCGGTGCGATTCGGTATCGGTTCCGGCTGGCTCGAGTCGGTTTGCTGCCGACCCAGACGTGGTCGCGTCGTGCAAAAAATCAGGGCGGGAGGTTTTGGGCTATCTTCGGCCCTGGGGGGCCCTCGCCGGGCCTCGGGACCGTCAATCTAGGCCTCCTAGATGGGGTCGGGGCAGATGGGGTCTGAGGATCGCGCCGCATCGCCCTTGCATCGGCGATGCGACAGCGATGCGGCTCGATGTAGGCCCAATTTCCTCCACGCCGACGTCGCCGATGCATCGCCGATCGTCGCCAGCGCATGGCCGATGCATCGCCGATGAATTGGCGATGCATCGCCCATGTATCGGCGATGCGGCGCGATCCTCCGACCCCATCTACTCTGACTCCATCTAGGAGGCCTCTAGTCAAAGAACGGCGCAGGACGAAAAACCGGTCCCGTGGAGAGGGTCGGGGCTTCAGGGGGGCCGTCCTGAGAACATCGGGACGTCGCATGTCCGGGGAGGTTCCGGCGACCCTGTGCGGCCCGATGTTCGCTTGGCGTCAGTGTGTGTGTGTGTGTGTGGAAAGAGCGCCGGGGGGGCGCCCCTGGAATCGACAGAGGGGCGGCGCGTGCTCGCAGAACCCCCCCCCCCGGCTCTCCGCGCTTCGAAGGGAGGGGGGCGGAATGCAGGCCTCCCCGCCCCTCCCCCTCCCCCTTTCAAAGGGGGGAGGGGGGTTTTGGACGCCCCCCCTTGCGCTGGAGAGGGGTGGGTGAGATTTCGGACCAGCCCCCCCCCCCTTCCAGCGGAAAGGGGGGGGGGGGAGTGGGCCTGGCCTCTGAATCTCTGGCCTCCTGGCTTCCGGGCATTCCGATTTCGGCTTCCGGGGATGGCCTCACGAAGGTTTCGAGAGAGGAGGAGGAGGAGGGGGAGGGGGAGGAGGAGGAGGAGGAGGAGGAGGAGGAGGAGGAGGAGGAGGAGGAGGAGGAGGAGGAGGAGCATGAGGAGAAGGAGGAGGAGGAGGACGACGACGGCAAGAGACAGGAGACCAGGCGTTCCAGCTCGTCTTCGCATGATGACGGTGATGTTGCTGCTGCTTCTGCTGCTGCTGATGACGATGACGATGACGAAGATGCCGATGACGATGACGACGACGATGGCGATGGTGATGCTGATGATGATCATGATGATGCTGATGAGGATGATGATGATGCTGCTGATGCTGATGCTGATTCTGATGGTGATGGTGATGGTGGTGGTGGTGATGATGGTGGTGATGATGATGGTGATGGTGATGGTGATGGTGATGACAATGATGATGATGATGATGATGATGATGATGATGATGATGATGATGATGATGATGATGATGCTGTTGATCCTGAGGATGATGACGATGAGGACCATGAGGATGATGAGGACGAGGATGAGGATGCAGATGATGATGATCTTGATCCTGATCATGATCATGATGCTTCTCATGATGCTGATGACGCCGATGGTGACGATGATGGTGATGACAATGAGGGCACTGATGATGATGATGATGATGATGATGATGATGATGATGATGATGATGAACATGATTGTGATGGTGATGGTGATACTGATGAGGATGCTGACGATTATGATAATGCTGATGATGATGACGACAATCACGATGACGACGACGATGACGAATACTATCGTGATGGTGAAGACGACGACGACGACATGGTGACGATGCTGCTGCTGATGATGATGGTGATGGTGATGATGAGGCTGACGACGACGACGCTTATGATGACGATGACGATGACGATGACGATGATGATGATGATGATGATGATGATGATGATGATGATGATGATGATGATGATGGTGATGGTGATGGTGATGGTGATGGTGATGGTGATGGTGATGGTGATGGGCATGGTGATGGTGATGGTGATGGTGATGGTGATGGTGATGGTGATGGTGATGATGCTGCTGATGCTGATGCTGATGCTGATGCTGATGCCTGCTGCTGCTGATGTTAGGTTCCGAGTGTTAGGTGGTTCTGGTTCGGGTGCCAGTGTTGGGTTAGAATGTTTTTGTTAAAGTGTTAGGTTGTTCCGGTTCGGGTGCCAGTGTTGGCTTGTGTTGGCGAGGGTATTTGGATTAGGGTGTTAGGATGGTAGGGTGGCAGGGGTCCAGAGTCA